TCCGCAAGTCTGAAATCGTCACTAATAGGTCTAATGTTGTAGTTTTTTTATCGTTTCAACATCTAGCAACAATAGTAAGTCGTAATAATAACGAAGATGCCGAGTTTTGCCCTAAAGAATCGCACTGACAATAGAAAAAGTAATCTTCTTAGCATCGTATCGTTATTTCCAAGTGTAAAAATTCATGGGTACACCCAAACATATAGTCCATATCAACTGAAAAGCAATTTTAAAGGAAGACAATGCTTTACTTTTGTGATCAGATGAAACATTTTCATATTTAAAGACATTTTTGTACTCATCGTTATCAACTTTCTGACTTGTTTGCGAATTAGGCATCTAATTTCTTAATTAATACAAAATTTAAAACCGATGTAACTATATTTGTTTATCCATTCCTCCATGTTTGCAGTTTGACTTCCCAAAAAGACAATAAGGATTGTCTGATTATTTTCTAAAGCAAATCGTTTTTAATTTGTAAAAAAAGAGATTTCTTAAAAATTGGACAGGACAGCATCAAAGTATGATTACTTGCAAATTATTACCAAAACAAACAAGTATTGAATTATTGAGAGAAGGTTTTATTTGCATTATGTGGAAAACATTGATTTACTCAGCGACATTTTTTGTTTTCTTAAACTTTGAAAGCAATTCGTAGCATGCCGATGGAAGAGTTCAATTAGTGCTTGCTTTAGATATTTCTAAATTTAGAGGCGTAAAACGTAAACGTTCTTATCTTCATGTAGAAATGAAATCAACAAATTTCAATGAACGGATTTTGTATTAATGCGGTAATTTGGCTGCATACAACTACATATATCACAATCAATTAACCCAATAAACGAAAAGCGCATATAATTAAACCAGTTTAATTATCTCTGCTCCATACCCTGCAAGCTGAGTTTCAAATTAATACGTGAAGCATTGGTTATTGTGAAATGATGCATTTACGTTTCGTTGCCTATTTTAACCCCCAGGCATCCTTTTGGATATGGAGATGAAAAAAGTATGATATAAATATAACTGCTAATATATTTATCCCTGTTATTCTATCGTATGTGCATAAATGTTTCGTCCATCTGAAATGCATGATTAGGGAACTTTTCGCAATCTTCGACCTCTTCATCGAATATCAAGCACTATCTATAAACCAAACGGGTTGAGCTGCTTTACAAGCAAGTAATCAATTTAACGCAAAATACTAAGCAGAAGAAGGTTGTATCTATTGGTTGACGTGGAGATGTCTCCAAGCCAAAGTGTGATTCTCGGTCATAAGACATATGATCTCTGAGCTGAATATAAATTTTAATTTTCAAATACATGGACTTTAACGATAAAAAAAAATTTTTTTCGGGAAATATTTTTCTTCTTTAATTGGAAGCAAAGTTTTACTAATTTGATGAAGGCTAATGAAAAGTGGATATGTTGCGATCATTCATAGCGCAACAGAAGTCAATTATATTGACGTCAAAGTCGGATTCGTTATACCACAGCTAATGAACATTGTGGACAAACGATTAATTTAATTAAGCCACTTATTAGAGGTAAAATGACAAATGATTTCCCCGAATCTAGAGCCCCTCATGCCCGCATCCCCCGTTGTCGAACCCTCCAAATTCTATTCCAAGACTCTAAGCCTTCTACGCTCTCTTAAAGGGCATTACTACATCGCATCACTTGACAAATACTTCAGTAAACCTGTTCCAAGATAAACATTTATTCAGCAAAGTTCAAAATTAAAAAAATTTACTAGAGATACTGAAAGACTGATCAAGGATTTTCAATCACATACATAACCATTTCACAACAAAAAATCTAATGTAAGCTAGCCATGGTAATAAAGATCATCGCTCTCACTTACTGTAAGCTAACATAAAAGTTCTCTCTTCCGCTGTTATATTATTGAAATGTCAAAATGAATCCTTTTAGTTTGTTCACACTCACGTCCTCTAGATTTAAAACTTAAGTAATATCATATACCGCTAATAGTTTCAGGAAATTGCAATTTACAATAACAATGACAAAATTTTGAACCTATATAGACTGTGTGCATAATAAACATTACCGAACGTACCTGATGTAGACGTATCATTTCATTTTTTCGTATTAAATTTTCTTAAGTTGAATACAAAATATACAGTTAACTTAACATGGTCGGATGAACATGTAAACGATTTTCTAAATAGACACTGATGTTACTCGGTTTAATACGCTAGATGATAATTCTGATCTGTCCAGTCAAATCTGACATTAAAACCTAATAGCTCAAGCAATAAGCTAAGGCAAACTCAATTCAAATCAGGTTGAGTTAATAACTTGTAATAAGCTATTTTTGTTACAAGGCGACAGTTGTGTTCAACTATTAAGTGTATGTTATTCTACAACTACTCTTTTTTTCTAATTCCTTGTTTCTTGCTTAAGACAGCAATGAACAAAATTCCGGGCCTTTTTCTAGCATACACTTTCTGCTTTGGATATTTATGCTTTTTTACATCCTACACCATTGCGCTATAAGGTATATTAAGTTTGTGCGCAGTTGCCTACAACATTTACAATTTTATAAACCGACCGACTTAGAATCATCTCTGATCTACAATTACGTTTTAAGTCGATGTCTCTTCGTTTGACCGCCTGATGTTTTCCCAAGTATTTTTGTGTTTAGCCTACAGGCCCCAATTTTTGTGATGTTTCGACGAAATTTAATACACCGACGTGTTCTGGCCCAAGGACAAACGCGACAGAAAATGTTACGGATCTTCGCCGAAGTGATGTAGGGAATTTAATAGTAATCTGTGACCACTTATAATGGTTTGACTACCTATATTTCCTGATCACACGTCTACGACAAATCATTCGAGGGGCTTGTCAAAAAACAAATATTGAGCACAAAGTATTAAAAAATTTTTTACTTCTATTCGTTAGAAAAAACATATGTGTACACATACTGATACTGAACATGATATTCTGTTACTAATTCCTTGACGCTTTTTAAAAACATTTTATATCAAATGGTAATTTTCTTATATTTTTCAAGTTACAATTCGCAATTTTTAAATCTGTAGGAACTTTTAAGAAAAACTGTTTTACTGTCTTTTTCTTATATTTATAAAATTTTTCCTAGTTAAGAGGGTATGCTATGCTTTTAAATTTTCTAAATTATAAATATAAGTCTTATTAAACTTTTTTAGAACAAATTCAAATGCAGGAGCCATTTCGATTTTTAATGTTATAAAACTCTCTGAGCTCAATCTGCAATAATTTCTACAGCAGATGATATAAAGCCAACGAAACGTTAAATATCTGCTCTACCACTGGCTTATCCGGCATTATCTTGTCCTGTCACTTGCTACCCTGTCAATAAGGCAATGCATTCTTTAAAGTTTTTGAAGACTTCTCTTCGATTGATACAAAAGTGGAGGGGGAGGCGCCGTTATTTCTCATGTCCGTCTTGCCTATTAATTCCAGCGAGTCCTTGCTACTAACACTGAAGGTTTTTTTCTGTTTTTTTTTTTATAATGATACTGAAAATAGATCATTAAACTGGCTGCTTATTATTTTAAACGCGCTTACATTACAACTTAAATTTTTTTTTTTTTTTAATTGAAGAATGGATACATTTTTAAATTAACATATGAAAAGTATTTCGAAATTTAAATTTATGTAATTTTTTATCAAATTAATGCAGCGAATGAAATAGTAATGACAATTGTGAATATCTAACGAACTCGTACGAAAATTTTGGAATAAAAAAAAGCTAAACCTAATTTAATCGCAACTTTGAGAATCAAAGAACAAATTTTTTCCTGAGAATCGATTGCCACAAGATTCAACAAATAACAAGCTTAAGCTATTAAATATGTTGTTTGTCGCAAGCACCATCGGAAACCATGAAAATATATGTAGCTATAAATGGCTAAATTTATATTACCCATTTTCATTGATCATTATAATATATATATATATATTTTCTCGATATCATGGAACAACTTGAAACATTCATTACCTTTGCTATATGAATACGACCACGAAGAGATACGAGATTTATGTCGATACACAGGAGGGTATGGGGGGCATAATGCCCGAAAAATGTATCGTATATTTGATTGTACACTCTTTCCTATATCTCTTGTTTTTGAGTTTGTCTTAAGGATAAAAGTCGCAATAAAAAGAATTCAAGTTTTCAAGTAGAGATACTATATAACATTGATATCTTCTAATAATTATATTAATAGAATTATTAAACATTTTCTTTTGGACGTAGTCCCTTCACTAAAGTAAAACTGCAACATTAAAAAACATAAATAAATAAAAATAAAATTGTAGCCCATTTCATTGACTAAGCCGCACATATAACAAGCAAATATAAAAATAAGGTACATAAAGGAGAAAGAGAGTTTCGTTTAGTTCTTTTTGTCGTGTTCGAACTATACTTCCTGGAGAGATACTTTTTAAAGGCAGACGAACATTCTCGCATACAAAGGGAAAAAGCTATCCTCTTAGAAAATCTCAGACGCAACTGCAACTAAGACAATCTACTGCTATTATCGTCCGTAAGAGCATACTAAGGAGGCCCGTAAAGAATGTGTTACGTTTATAAAAGCATGATTAAGCAAATCACTCACATCATTTTGCTCAGCTTTTAATACTTCTAATAAAGTTTTGAATGCATACGCGCTCTACTCACTTACTGAAAACAATTTTTGTTAGACAAAGAGCCAAATCAACTTTACTACTGCTTTGCGAGCTGTTTAGTTTGGACTGTTTTTAAAAGCGAAATTGCAATCACCTTTGTTAATATTCAGTAATAATAACACAGAATCTCTTTATGATCATAAATGTCTCTTCAAAATTATACAACGAATTTATAGATGTGTGAACGTTGTGCACTGCGTATAAAAATTGACATTTATGACATTTTATTACGTTAATCTTAAATTGCCACGCCCAATATGCGTTACTTTACCATAATTTATAGGAGTTTTGAAAAATATTAAACTAACCTGCGTTGCCGACGGATACCCGGCGTATCCAAATTGTGTATAAGCAGCCATTTTTTTCCTTTTCCTTTACGATTTTCGTTTATATTATCTATTTGAAAATTGTTTTTAATTTTATTATTGATTGAAATTTTCTATCCGTAATAATTGCACTTGCAAAGACTCTACTAAATTATTTTGATGTTGTTGTTATATTACAGTATCAGCGATTCCTTTTAAATAATTTTTGAATAAGTTATTTTTTGTTCTTCTTTTGATTATTGCAAAAAACAACACACACGTATAACTAACACCTTGTCAATTTCTTGTAATTGTTGAACGTATAAAGAGTCAATTGCATAAACAAACAACTAAACAAACAATGCGTATACATGTGCTTTTGCGTGGCTGCTACCGACGTTGTTATACATTAAATTTATAATGCAAACCTTACACAAACACTGTCACAGGGCGACGCTATGCAACAACTAAACATAAGGTGTGTTCAGAACAAAGCCTGTATTTAAAAAAAAATAAATAAATATAAATAAAAAAATTGCGGAATAACGGAGAAAATAGTAACAAAAAACCATTCACTCATATACATACATTTGCTGATAAATTGAGAAAAAAAATTTTTCATTTATAAATCCACAGAAATATAATAACAATAACGAAAAAAGAATATTTCCCTTTTTCTAATGTGGGTTTAAAAACTATGCGCTTCAAACGATACACCGCTGACTCTCCAATGTGTACAAGGCAAAAATTGTTTGAAGAAGGCCAACTGCTAACGCCAACGCGTTCCGTATATACGGTTAACACAAGAGCTTGAGCGCTTAGACCATTAGAGACAAATGCAGCAACAAATATTTATGTAATATTTCATTATATGCAATGAGAAGTAAAATACTCTTTGCCTGCACAGGCTTATACACAACCGAAGGTTTTTATTAAATTGCTGAAGCTTAAAATTCCTTTGGAATCGTATACTTTTTCTTTTTGTTTGTTTATGGATATATATATATATATATATATGGATATATATATATATGTATATATATAAATATATATACAAATGCATGTATATATATATGCACATGTAAATATATATATATATACATGTATATATACATGTATATATATGTATATGAAAGACACGTTATAGATTCTGCGCACTAAACGTTGTTAACTATCGCACGTTCGAACATGAACTGGTTGCAACCTCAACAGCAAGAAAGGTCTACGTGTCTCAATAATTCTTCATCTTCGATATATGAAAGAGAAAATCATTAGCAAAATATACTCAGATGATTTTGCCATACAAGCCTTCAGAACAGAAAGGGATGCCTATAGATCAATATAAATATCATGTAAATTAGACTCTAAATGTCGTCCTAGTCTGACTTGGCCCCTCCTATTCATTTCCCATACGATAATTGTTAACTTTACTCGTTACTTTTGCAACGAGTTTCTCAATGAATATATGAGAACATTATAGATATTTTTTTTTAATATTTTCTTTTCATTTAATCTATCTCTATCTAACTCGCTTTCCTTCTCAAAATAATTATATTGCTATTTTTAGCTGTTTCTTTCTCTCTTGCCCTAGCATATACCTTTAATCTAGTTTTCCACTAGCAACAAATTGCTTGGCAACCGCTATCCATATATATACTTGATTGTGGGTAACTCAAAATTCAGGGGAATTAAAAATTCTATCCTGGAATAGTATGTGCGTTTAAGTGCTTTTTCAAATCATTGACCAATCAAATTTTTGATTTACACTGTTAATAGGCAGGCGCTACTTGTTACCCCTTAATATATTGTTTTTGTAATTTACTCTTTGCATTGTTGGTTGCTGTTTTCTTTAATCAACACACTGCTCTTTTTAGTCTCATTTACTAACGAACCATTAATTTAATTTCCGATATTTGCTTTTGTGTTTTCTTTTTCATTTCTTTTTTTATTTCTTTCAAAAACTCACGCATACTCATATAGAACCGTAAACATCATCACACTATGTTTATTCAACTGCAAAAGGGGTTAAAATCTAGAAAGTTTGTAAACACGCCCAGCTTTGCGCTGTGTTTGCCTTTTTGTGTTTTTTTTTTTAAATTATTTTCTTTAACATTTAATAAAATGGTTTTTAACACTTGACTTGTTATTATTATTTTTCTGTCTGTTTCCCTTTTTTTCATGTTTATTTTTATATTAGCTGTTATTACTGTCTGATTTTATTGCATTTGCAAGGCGATACAATGTTATTTAATTTAATTTTTTTTTTTTTTTTCAAGGCAAACATAGTTCTTCATTGTTAACATAATTAATGAAACATTTTTCTTATTAATATTGCTATTAATGTGCTTAACTCCTATTCAAATGATGTAGAAACCCAACAATTTTGCGTATAGATATGCTTGAGAAATCGCAAATGTTTTTTATTATAAGCAATTTGAATACAAGTACAACATCAATTTCATACTTAAATTATATGGTTCTTCGATTTCACAGTTTCAGCTCAGGCAACAAACAAATGACTTAAGCAACAAACTATACAAAGTCTTACATTCAAATTATTATCGGGTGTTTCCAAAACCGCCATTTTCATAAGTTTCTTTCTTTTGATGTCTATGCAAATTTGTACATAAAGGAACATAACTAAAGAATACTCGCATTTAGCTTAATTTAGGTTTAATTAATGACTGATAAATTTCTTATATTCACATCATATATCAAACAATTAACATCGTAGAGAGTAGGTTATTTCTAAAAAGGTATTTTTCACAATTTTCTTTTTTTTTTGTAATTGTTTTTTACGAACAGTTGACCCTTTTTCCCCCTATTGGATTGTTTAAAAACGATCCAGAAGTTTTTGTCTACAAGGTTCTTTAATGCTCTTTCTAAATTTCAATGTCAGGTACTTGTTACATACTACATGACCTTGTTTGCTATCCTCTAGAAAAGCCATAATTGAGAATTAGTAATAATAGGTTTTGTATTAAAAAAAAAAATTAAAAGCAAAAATTTCTTTTTTTTTTCTTAACCATTTTAATATGTTCAATTAAATAGAATATGATATGAAGTGATATGAAGGATGAGGTTGCGTGATACAAATTCTAAAGTATATGCTACAATAATTGTTGAGACGTTTCAAATACATTGTAGTGAAGTGCTTTTCGAAAATTATGAAATATTTGCATGCGCAGAAACTTGTGTCTTCAAGACGCTTCTGGCTCTACTCGGTCAATTACTGCTTTCGATTGTATCAAAGGTTTGATTGATTTGAATAATGCATAAGCTAATTAAGCAATAAATAGCGTAATAAGATCTTGCGATAAAAATAAATTTTCTTCAAACCATAAATTTCTTCATCTCGATAAAGATTCAATAACACAAATTTTGTAAAGGAAGAACAAGATATCATTTTTGATAAAAAAACATCAAGAACTTTCAAAGCTCCTGCACTAAAAGTTATATCTCGATCATTAGATATGTTCTTCTTCTCTCATCCTTCTGGTAGTTTCCGTTTATGTCGTCAAGCGCATTGGTTTTAAGTTAAATTTTTAGTGATCCTATTTTCGAGTACTGCTGCTTATGAAAAAAATAGTTTTTCTTAGAATCGGTGTTAAATCTGATGCTGAGGTTGAGACTTTTCATGCATACTTTCTTATACTTTTTAACCCATAACATAAGCTTAGCCGCGCACACCCACGCATTTTCGACCTCATATCTTGTGTCTTATTGGTAGCAATCAATATTAAGTATTCTTTCTGTTTCTCAAGAGATCTACGATGCAGCACTTCTTTCTAATCCTGCCAAGGCCAATGCCATTTTTAGATTCTAGGGAATGTCAATGGTTAAACTGAATTGAATTTCTGATATTTTGCATTTGAAATACATTTTCCATTACTAAACGTATTCCTTGCAAAAGAGAATTTCATTTTTCCCATTCATATTTTTTTTTTTGCTTTATTATTATTCAGTTCCCAGGTAATCTTCTTGAAATTTTTTCACATTGCTCAATCTATGTAAAATGAAGTTTTTATAATTTGGCGGAAATTTTCTTATCTCTCTAATGACGCATTATTTATAACTGATGTTAAGATAATTCTATCTAGAGCGATTTCTTCGTGGTCTCCACTCTCGGGGAGGGGTATATTTAATTTGTCAAAACGTTTGCAACGCCCAGAAGGAAACTTGAGGGATCCCCTCAAATTCTGAATCGATTTAAGCATGTCCACCTGCCCATCTGTGTAATGTCTATTGTAAATATTCTCCTGGCCGCAAAAATAACGGTATCGCCTACAAATTTGCAAAACAAAGCGAAAATTACTTAAACTATTCACCCACGCGCTTATACAATATCCAATATTATAGAGTATGAATTTTTTATTCTTTCTTTGTCTCTTTAGAACAACGCTGATGAGTACAAATGATTCGCATACGACCGAATGCAATTTTGTTAATTCCTCAGTTTAGGATATATAATATAATAGTAGATTTTCAAATCATAATTTCGATCTAAAAAACTTTATGTAAGGCAACAAAATCGTTTCCATATAACTGCTTAATTAAAACATAAAATACATTACAATGAAATATTGAAAAAGTCTATCAGTCGACGAATTTTGTCGATCTGATAGGATCCGTCCACGATTACAAAATAACTTCTAATTTTCCCTTTTTTCATAAATTATAGCAAATAAGTCTTAAAATTATCTTTAAAGAAATTGCCAAAAAGCTACGCGTATTAGAAATATGAGGCAGGGTATATAGTTCGCGAAATGACTTACAAAGTATACTATCAAATCGTATAAATTAATATAACGAGAGCAAAAGCGTTTTTCTTCGATATTGTAATCAAGCATAAGTAAATCGTGCATAAGCTAAATTGCAGATAAATAGACTGAGTAATAGATTTGGTTTAAACCCAATAGAATGTCTTTCTTCTTTTGTTTATATACTTATAATCACACATATGATTTGTGAATTGTACCAACCTTCAAATCTTCCAATATTTACGGATATTCCAGCGATTGGTTTACAAGTTACAGTAGTTGTTTTTATTGATGCTTTAATAATTTTCAAAGCATTGAAAAAATTTGTAAAACCGTAGGTTGGTTAACAGTTACTTTTTGAAAATACCAATGTGTTGAAGCCGTTTAAACGAAATAAAGAAAATTTTTTCATGCGATATGAGATAATGAATAAAACATAGAACTATCCCTACACTCCGCAATCAAACCCACAATCAGAAACTAACGCACACGTTCAATCCCCGATCAGATACTACATCGGGTTAAAGTTTTCGTTTTTTTTCTAACAAAATATGTATATTTATGTGGATGTATAAGACCAGCGGATTTAGGTCGTAAAGCCGTCGCTAAATGTGAACTGAGTTTTTAACGATATCAATAAAACTGAAATGCTAGCTTCAGTTAGAAAGAACGTGGAGACTTTGGGGTAAAAGTGACGAATATCGCATCTTTTGCTCAAAAATGAAAGCATTGATGCCGATAGTATTTCCTCTGATTTCTATGGCAAACGAATGAAAATGGATAACAGTGCCTAGATCCTATTCAAAATGTGTAAATTTGTATATATCTGCACGAGTAGCTGAGTAAATAAGAATCATGGCTATCAAACCAGCATTCGTGTGTTTAAGAGGATTCTTGTTCGTAATTATAGTGAGTGGTCAGTTGCAAAGAGTAAGTTGCAGCCTTTTATTGTATGTTCCCCTTTACTCAGTCTTCTCTGACCGTCATCTTACACGCATAAGACACATACCCGAAGTGACTGCTCAAATTACAAAAAAAAAAAAAAAAAAATATCAAAGCAAAAATATAGATAGGTGGAGTACGAAAATATTAACGTATACTTAAAGCCCTCATTGAAGAGCCGTAAGCAAGTTAATGGCTTTATATATATGCTACCGATTATAAATAAGATCATAAAAAATGCTAAGAATATTTAAAAAATGCAAGTCTTCGGGTATAGGGAACT